TAAATATAATTATATATATATTAATATTAATATTAATAGCAACTATTATTATTTTAACTGTATATTCCAATATTTAGCATATTTACAATTATTGTACATATATAAGACATATAAAGCATGCATAAAGCATCAATAAAACATCGATAAAATTCATGAACTGAACTTGACTGTCGTTTGAAGAGTAGATTTTCAAATTTAATATTAGTTTTTGACGTTAGGGAGCAGTCATTATTAATGCTGGGGGTGGGGCCGGAAGATGTTTGGGGGGGGCACCAAAAATGTATTAACCACTTAGGGGGGGCTACCAAAAATATCAAAGAAAGGTAGGGGGAGGCACCAAAAATAATGTACAATAATCATAAAACATCGGCAATTATAGTTCACTGTAACATAAATGTCAATGCTACTGATCAATGCATCTCTGATCATGTCAGTGAACATGTGAACATGTTTTTGTGAGCTCCGTTTATTTTATATTTTTTTTACTCAATATCCACATTTTAATATGTTGATACACGATGGTGATACCTATCTTTGGACCGGTTCCTTGGCAGACTTAAAGTGCTTTGTTGATGAAATTTTAAATCTTAAAGGGAAGTGGAGCTCTCCAGGAGGCGAAGCGAAGCTGTTTTGTGCTACAAAGCCTGACTTTGTTATTAAATGGTTTGGCTGGCGGTCCCAGAAACTTGTGATTCAAGTAGACAGTGCTGAGAACTTTTTAACACAGAAGTTTGAGAGCTTGGTGAACAAGAGTAAAGGAAACAAAGCTGATAGCAAGAATGGTACTGATGGAGTGATTGTTAGCGATGGCGATACAGCACAGCACATCCTGCTGTACTGGAGGTATGTAAATGTTCCTGCTCTGTCGATCTAGAGGGCTTGAAATAACAATTTTAGAATCGCGATTATTTGCCGCAATTTCCAAAAATGAGCTTGAATCAGATATTGATCTGCTCAGAGTTAAACAGAAAGAATCGGAAGCCGCTATAAGACGCCAAGACGATGTGATTTGTACTCTTAACGAAGAGAATCAATTCCTTAAAGCAAGGCTGTTGGCTCTTGAAGAGTCGTTTCTCAAGATAACTTATAATGTCAATAAAGACAAAGAACCTGGCTCATCAGTTTACAAAGCTAAAAGTATTGACAAAGCGGCCGCTTTTCATGCCAGTGAACAATCTAACAAAAGTAACCTCAGCTCAATTAACACTGAATTATTTAATACCTCTCATGACAATAGTCTTGCTCGGCATAATAACAACGGACAATGCAATGCCGATGATTTGAATAATAATCAAATTGACCTTGCAAATGATGATGCTGTGTTTTCCTCAAAACAGCAGAATAAAAATAATACACACAAAGGCTTAAATTCGAACTTGAAATCGGTATCGCAGCAGTCAATTTACAGCGAAAGGGAAAAACCCAAATACAATCCGTCTCTAAAAACCTCTGTTCCGTGCCCTTTTCTCATACGCCGTGGTAGATGTTTTAAAGGCGACCGATGCGACTTTAAACACCCAAAACCATCTGAAACACGGAAGTGCAATATACCATGTCCTTTTCTGCATAAAAGAGGGTACTGTCTGAAGAAAGAGATGTGTGATTTTTCCCACGACAAATTGATACGTAACTCATCCCCCATGCCCTATCCAGGCAATTACGCTTTTCCTGATTTTTTATCACACCGATTCACCAACCCATTTCCGCCGTTCCAGAATTATTATTACCGAGAACCTTGGAGAAATCTCCGCCCATTGAATCCTTTAATGGAAATTCCAACCCCTATATGGTCACAATATCCAAATCCCTATTCTCCAGCCATACAGCCCCCAATGAGTTACCCAAATCAGTACCCTTCACCCAGTGGCGTGCTGGCAGGGGGGGGCCGGGGGGCCACGGCCCCCCCTGCTGGCAATTCTTGGGGGGCGCAGAAATGAAAAGGGGGCGCCGATCCCGCGCCGAATTTTGAAAGTGGGTGGGAAAAAACGCATTCGCAAAAATATAGTTACCTCCGCCAAGAAAACTACAAAGTGATATATTAAATTACAGACTATTTTGTCTATTAAGCCGTATTTGCTAATTTGCTACTTCACGGCGCACACGAAATCATTTATATAGGAACATGATCAGTGATCAAACGCAATGTCTCATCACCGAAATATTGGTCAGGTTTGGAAGAGATCACGGGAATTATGCCCTTTTTTGCTGGTATTATGCCCTTATATTACGCCCTTTATTATGCTTCACGAGAGCGGCGCAAATTAGATAGTTGAAGTTATGATAACGTAAAGTTGTAATGAGTAATGTAAGTTATGAAATAATGCTGAAACGCGCTGTTTTGGCAGCCAGGCAAGGAAACCTTAAAATGCATATGCGTGGGTTGCAAATTTCGACACGTTATAATGCCGTTTCCTGACCATCAGATTTCTGTCAAATCGTCCCCCAAAGTCCAGGAAATGGCATTTCAGAGACTCTAAATTCAAAAATTTTCCTGGGGGGCATGCCCCCGGACCCCCCTAGACAAACCTCGCACCTTCGGCGCTCGGCTCGTGCCTTCGGCCCTCGTTTATCAAGTGTAATATTATAGGGGCGCATATTGTTTGACAGCCCACTGGCCCCCCCAGAAAAATAGTACCCAGCACGCCACTGTGATCAGTGATCACACGCAATGTCTCATTACCGGAATATTGATCAGGCTTCGAAGCGATCATGGGAATCATGCATATATGCGTGGGGTCCGTGTGTTATTGTATAAAAGAGCTGTAAGTTGTAAATGAATTCAGATCAGTAGAGGATAGAATAGAGATTAATTGCTGGAAGTAGTAAGCATTGCCCAATTTAAGTGCTACTACTAAATTCTAACCAATTTTCAAATTTCGACACGTTGTAATGCCGTTTCCTGACCATCATATTTCTGTCAAATCTTCCCCCAAAGTCCAGCAAATGGCATTTCAGAGACTCTAAATTCAAAAATTTTTTCGGGGGGCTTGCCCCCGGACCCCCCTAGACAAACCCCGCACCTGCGGCGCTCGGCTCGTGCCTTCGGCCCTCGTTTATCAAGGGTAATATTATAGGGGCGCATATTAGTTGCCAGCCGACTGGCCCCCCCAGTAAAATAGTACCCAGCACGCCACTGCCTTCACCCCTGATGACGAATTACACAAGACCGCCCAGGCGTTGACAGGTGATTACGATTCATCCAAGTTTGTTTGTCCCTTCCTTAACAATGGTACCCATAAGATGCCCGATACCGAACTAAATAAGATACCCGTCAGAATTACTCCACGCACAAGACAGCACAGTTATATAAAATCTCTTAGGCATTGCAGCACTTTGAGACCTATACAAGTCTGCGTGTCTGTACATAGAACTAACTTAAATTCAGATTCTCATACAAAATTCCTACGTTTCGCCAATGTTAATGCGAGATCTCTTAAAAACAAAACAGCCGAAATTGTTGATCATGTTTTGAGCAACGATATTGATGTGTGTATTGTGACTGAGACCTGGTTAAAAGACGTTGACACTGTTAGCATAGCCGCGCTTTCTCCCCCTGGGTACTCTTTTAAAAACCTTCCTAGACAATCTAACAGAATGGGTGGAGGCACTGGCATTATGTTTAATACCAATTTTAAAGTTACTTTAATTGACGGAGGTGAAAAACGATCTTTTGAATACTCTGAATGGAACTTGGCTTTACTCAACCTTACGATTAAAACATTAGCAGTCTATCGTCCACCTTATTCACAAACTCACCCTGTTTCTTCAAGCGTTTTCTTCGAAGAATTCTCCAACTTACTTGAGAGCATTGTTATGTGCACAGAAATATTAGTAATCTCCGGTGACTTTAATTTCCATCTCGATGATCCGTCTGATACTGACGCGAAAACATTTACTGATTTATTGGAAACTTTTGGCTTATTACAACATGTTACTGTACCAACTCACTCGTCTGGGCATACCCTGGATCTTCTAATTTCGAGATCGTCCAATGACATTAATATTCATCTAGTCAAGACTACTTTCTTCTTGTCAGATCATTGTTTTGTTGAATGCAACCTCTCTTTTCCTCGCCCGAATCTTGTGACAAAGGAAATTCAGTTTCGTAAGACAAATCATTTGAATCTTCAGGCCTTCAAAGCTGACATCACTGATTCCAAACTGTGTAACGACCCATGCTCCAATCTAGATGATTTGGTGAAACATTATGATAATACGCTATCACATATTTTGGAGAAACATGCCCCTTTACAAAGAAAGATAGTGGTTGTCAGACCAAGAGTACCATGGTTCAGTGAAGAACTTAAACGTATTAAGGCCAAACGCAGAAAACTGGAGAAAGTAAAGCTACGATCAAATTGCCAAAATGATAAAGACGCTTATCGCCAAGCGCGTAACAAGTATGCTACCAGTTTGAAAAATGCTAGACATAAATACTATTCTGATCTTATCGATCAATGCTCGGGAGATTCAAG